ATTTTAAATTTTCTTCATAAATGTCTCCGAACAGACTTTAAAAATTAACTTTCAGCAGGTTACAATGTATATATAGTTTTTTTATATACTTTTTAAAAATAATTTTTGAAAAACACATACTTTTTTTTTCATCAATGGCTCTGAATGGACTTAAGGATTTACATTTTGGCATTCAACAAAGAAATCTTTTGATGTCCTGCACTTTTCATTCTTACTTTATGATACACAAATAGAGCATATTTAAGCTGCTTATGAAATTAAAATTATTTGATACACCCAACATTTTTACCTAAATAAGTCAGCAATCTCTTCATCAGTAGTTAGAAATTACCTTTGTAGTGAGATAATTTGGATCATAGAAAAGCCTAGGATCAAAAATGAAAAGATGAAAAGGAGAAATAACTTATTCAATATAAAATTACTCACCATCTTTATTCATGCAGATTTCTTTAATTTTTCCATTGTGTTTGTGCCTCTGTCAGTGAGATTCTATCCTCTGCATCCATTAGGGACTTTTTATTTAATTCCTTTTGAGAATTTCCCCAAAGTTATTTACAAGTCAGTCTCCATTGGCAGCACAGAACAGCCATTGTGGAGTGGAGGTTTTTCTGAACCCCTCAGGATCATATTATTTTAGTAGAAGAGTTCTATAGAGAAAAAAAGGGTGATCTTCTGAATTGGAGACTCAGTAATAGGAGAGAGTGTATTGTTGGGCACCAAATTGTCTGTCAGTTTTAAAATAATGGAGATCTCACATCTCTCCATGGTGTAGTATTTTAGTACAAGTTTATTTAAAATATGCCATGTTTTGATGCTTGCTTATTTATTTATTTGTTTGTTTGTTTGTTTGTTTGTTTGAAACATTTGTATAGCCACCCATCAGAAAACCAAATTCTGGGCAGCTTACAACCCAACAGTAAAAACAACATATACAGCTAAAGCAAAACAATAAAGCCAAAACCAGGAAAAACAAAACAATATTGCCCTATTTTATATAGTGCTGGAAGGTTCAGCATAATTATTTCTATTTAAAGCTCCAGAGAATGCTGTTGCTACTTGTGCAAAATAATCTACTCCTCCAAAAGTAAATGCCTTAAAACAGCATGAAAAACAATCCAGGACAATGGGCAACTATATTCCATAGTGATTGTCCATGCATAATCTAAAACTATAAGGAACACCCCTACAAAAAATGACCAGTTTGCTGGGTATCCTGTAAATCAGGGATTTGCAAACGTTGCTGAGAAGGAGCTGCACCCAACATTTCTGGGGGAAGTGAGGGAGACACAGTGGGAAAGTTGATCATGAAATTCAGTGGCAAGATCATCATCATTATTTCAAGGGTGGTGGTGATGATGATGATGATGATGATGATGATGATGATGATGATGATTTCATAAGGCTGTTTCTGATTCTTCCTCACTGGAATAGATATTTTGTGTGGGATTATTCTTAAGACTTCATTTACATTACAATTTAGTTATATTCCCTACTACAAAATTATGAGAAATTGGGCTGCCATGTTTGTTCAGACTGCAGCACCTCTCCAACCTTGGCTGAGCTTAGAACACAAGGCAGGCAGGTTAGGATCTAGTGTGTACTTGGATGGGAGACTATCAGGAAACACCCAGGCTGTAGTCTGCATGGGAAAGTTTAAAACAAAATGAATAAATAAATGGTCAAATAAGATGTTTCTGCCAAACAATGCCTCAGTTATTGTAATATGATTATATTAATTCTGCTTTCTGCTTGGGTTATAGAGGTTTTATTATATTACTCTCTGTTGATTGTTGTTAGCTACCTAGAAATTATATGCAAGATGGGCAGCCATATAAAATGTATAAATGTATAAATAAAATATAAATATTTCCCATAGAAGGGCTCTTGAAATCAAGGTAAATGCTGAGTTGAAGTCAGCGAAGGCCACATACACAGAAACTCAACAACTTCTACTGTATTTAGATTATTAGATTAGATGTCGTAGCATAAGGATGTAATCTAGTGTTCAGTGGCCAGGTCTAAATCCTGCCTGTTCATGGCCCAAAATAGCTTCATTCACCAGACATTCTTGGAGTTTCTCTGATAATACTCAGCAGGCTTGTGGGGCAGTAATTGGCAGGATCACTCCTGCCATCTTTCTTAAAGATTGGAACAAATATGACCACTCCCCAGGTGGAATGTTTCCAGATTGCTCAATACATGTGAAAAGTGAGGCCAAAATTGGAGCCCACCAGCCAGCTTGAGATTTATTATTTATTATTTATTAAATCACCTTATATTTAATAAATATTATTATTTATTTCAGGGCTTCACATGGGATATGACAATACTGGGGAGCCTTTTCTAGTTTAAGTTTTTTTTCCCTCCACATCGGCTTCAGAGACAAGTGGCCAGTCTGGAAGGTTGTCGTGAGGCTGGGATTTCCTCTGGCTGAGAATCATATGAAGTTCTGAAATGGGCTTCCCAGACCCCTCGAGGGACCTGACTGGAAGTGTGATATAAGCTTCCATTCACCTGGCCTGCCATCATATGCCAGAAAAGGGAGGAATTTTTGTCTTGGGCTGTAGTGGTCAGCTGTTGCCCCTATTTCATTGCAGTCTCCATTTTTTTTTTTTTTAGTTTTTAGAAGTGACTTTCTTTCTTTCTTTCTTTCTTTCTTTCTTTCTTTCTTTCTTTCTTTCTTTCTTTCTTTCTTTCCCATGCTGATACTTGTGCAGGAGCTCATTGATAAATTTTGTAGGCAGTGGTTAGAACTCTTTTAGCAACCACCCATTCCTGGTCAAACCATTGTTTCTATCTGCCCTTTTGTCTTAACTGAAGCTTGATTCTGAATAATCTGAATGAGCAGGTTATCATTTTCACAGAACTGAGGGCCTGTCCTAGTACTTACAATCAATGTATAATTTTTCATTCTAGAGGCATTTAAAATGTCAGGGAAGAAAGCATCCCATTTTTTATTCCACTTATGGGTAAGAATTGTATCTGTATTTCAACAGGTAGGAAAAAAAATCGGTCTACAGGTTGTGCTAATTTAAAGGGGAGGTCTACACCCAAAAGTAAAGGGAAGTGATCGCAATCTCAGCATGGCTCAACTTTCATAACATTTATACTAGTGGCCAAATCAGGGGAGAGCAGCCAATAAACTACTGTTGACATAAGGGACCCCAACCAATAAGTAAATTCTGCAAGG